GGTATCGGTGACCTTCCCCTATATGATTTTATCTAATTATATTTATATAATTATATATAATTATTATATATGAAACATTTTTTTCCGGGAAAGTATATCTCATTGTGAGTCATTAGTGAAGACTCGATGAGACATCGTGGACTTCAATCAATCGTTTCATGTTATTTAAACTCAACGGTGTGTGAATGAAGATGTATAATAAAATAACAGCGATGACCATTACAACACATAATCAGATAATAAATTAAGAAATAAATCAAAATCCAACTTTTCTCGGAGTAAACTTAGCTAACAGATATTTTTCATTGATATCATATAATAATTATCTGTTTTGCGGCAAGAATCTTCGCGTTATCTCGATGTGTATTTTAATCGCTGTTGTAAAACGCGAAAATCAATAGTCGGAGTTAATTCTACTGTGAAAAACAATAATGCATGCATATGACACTGGAATAGATTATTTAATTTATAACTTTTGCCTCCGTATAAAAACTTCTTTGGAACGTCACGATTGTCTTACGTAATCATATACCAAACATAGGTGTTATTTAAATGATATAATCTTAACATTATATAAATGTATATTGCAACATTCGCAAATAAATTATAAATATTCGTACCTATGCATTAAATCTAAAAGTTATATAAAATGTATATCTTCGTATATATAATTACATATTATACTATTATATTATTCACTCTTTATTATTCGTATAAATAAATAATAAATAAATCTCACGCAAACTGATAAAGTAATATGATATCATCAGTTTGCGTGAGATTTATTTATTATTCTTTTTATTTACAACGTTGTTCTGTTTCTGTGCCGTGTGCTCAATGAAAATAGGAGATCTTGGGTCACAATGAGGATGCCGTCAGTGAAACTTTGAATCACTGGTATCTCGTGAGTGCTCACGTTATTGAGACGGGCTACAGAGAAGAAAAGTTCACGTCGTTAAGCTACGCCGGTTTTCTGCCGGGTTATACGATGGGCTATAATCACCATGGCCTCGTTTACAGCATCAACACCCTCAGCGCTGCGATCCTGCGTTCCGGCAAGACTCGTGAGCTTTATTTCTTTGTGTATCAAACGCCACAATTTAAATTATTTATTCGAAATGTAAACTTGTTTGGGAAAAATCTATTCGCGATGAAAAAAATTTTTTTTATTTTGTATAAAAATTCAGTAATCAATGTAGTTTCATTCTCTAATTGAGATCTCATTGTATATAGCACGATATTTCCTGACACGAGCATTGCTGGGTGTGGAGAACTTCGTGCAGGCGCAGCAGACGCTGAGAAACGAGGGATACGGCGCGGCGGAGGGCTTCTCGGTGAACATGACGTTCCTCGCGCAGGAGGGAGACCGGATGTTTCATAATGCCGAGGTGGGCCCAGCCGAGGCGGACGCCAATCGGTCGCAACTCAACATCCTGACCGTCAGCCCGGGCGAGAATGCGTCCCATTGCAACAAGTACATGATGCCCACATTGCATATAGATTTACATATGCATAGAGTATTCCATTCGTGAAATAACGCGTTTACTTACCTTTCTTGCATCTCGAAGAAGTTATTCTTTCGCCTCCTCTAATTGTCCCTTTTTAATCATACAATGGCGAAGTACAGTATATATTGTAGTAATATGCAGTCATAATTATAGTGTATCCCATTTCTAAAACTTTTTAAAATATTGCACAAAATATTTTAAAAATCTTGTATAAATATTGTATATAAATATAAAAAAAAATATTTCAAAAACTGATTTCTTGGATATATTTATATTTTAGAAATATTTTTGAAATATTTTATGTTGTGTGGAATATATTGTATAGGTCTTCGTGTGTTTTGTTCTCGTATAATAAACTCCTATGGTTTCAGATACCTACGTCTAAAGGTAGAGGAAGAGAAGGGAAGGATCATACAGAGCAGTATCAGAAGAATGGAGATGATTTCAAAACATCCGCCGGTGGAATGTCGTGAGGATGTGATCAATGTACTTAGCGATCAGACGGGCGAAGATTATAGGATCTATCACGACTTCGGCAAAGATGATGAGATCAAGACGATTGCCACTGGTATATCCTACACCTACATCAGAAAATCGAATATATTTCTATTCTTTTACTTTCTTATTTGTTTTTATTCTTCAACTAAAATTTTTAAAAGAAGATATAGATCATGCTAGTAGGATCATCAAACTATTCTTTTACTTTCTTCTTTCTTTTTATTCCTCTTCAACTAAAATTTTTAAAAGAAGATATAAATCATACTAGTAGGGTCATCAAACAAATACAATAGTATACGGATTATTAGAAATGAAAAACGATGCGCAAGAAAGATTACATCAAAGAAAATTAGAATCTTACATCACATTTGTTGATTACATCATATTTTAAAGTTTCCTGTTATGTTCAAGAATGAAGACTAATTAAAATTTCTGCACACGCTTTTCAATCTCCCACTCTTTTTCGATGAATCAGAACTCGTTTAGTAGAATTGCAATAGGAATATTTCAAATGCAAATAAAGAAAAAAAAAAAAACTGCGTAAGATTACGGAAGATTACTAGAACTATTACAAATCTACTCTTATTTATTTCAGGCATCTTTGATTGTATCGAGCGTACATGGTCTATTTACACGGACATCCCACGAATCAACGAGCCAATACTGGTGATACCCATGCAACTCCGAAACTTTACGACTCCGTAGTCAAAGAAATGTCTTTGTTTCGCAAGAATGGCGAAAATCGCGTAGCATTCGCGTTTGCTGTATTGACGATTACGTATGTAATATTAACAATTTTAGCTATAACAGCATTTTTAATTTGTCAAATAAAACGTAAAAAATATTAATATTATCTCTCTGTAGAGAACATCGAGATAACCAAAGAGAGGCATCGTAAAGATTGAAAAATTAACGACATTAAAAGTCTACAAAGTATTAATATGCAAAGAAAAGATCTGTTATCTTGTTGAATATAAATGAGATTTTGTGATTATGAAACATCTCAATATTGTTACTAAAAAAAATTAATTATTTTATATAATAATCCTCATTATGTAGCACGATTAAGAGCGATTGACTCGTAATCTCAGTTTCTCGATCGTAAGTCCTTATTTCGTTATATATGCCTCAATTTATAAAAGATCAATTAGAGAATAAAAAATTGTGTGTAAAAGAATGACGTACTTATATACAATTAGCCTCAGAAATAATAAATTGATGTATATGTGCATAATAAATTATCGTTATATTCGGTGCCTATTAATCAGGCAGAGGAAATAAAAATCGCTGCTGTTCTATTTCGTAATTTCAGCTTTAATTTCTTGATATTTTTGTAGTATGAGTACATTGTGATGATCCTCTTCCTCTTTAATATTAGCTTCCGGGAACCATTCGCATCCAATCGATTGAAAAATTTACAATGTAAAGTAAGATATTAAATTCCAGTAAAAAAAGCAATGTAAACGATTACAGAATTGTCTTTAGTTTCTTTTAAACAAAATTGACGCGGAAAACGCCATAATAACAATTATAGTTATCCACCCAATATGCTAAAAACATAAGCAACCGGTCGATCTTGTTTTACCGTTCTTAATTAAATAAATGTACAAAACATACCGCCCCACTTTTACATGCAGATATGCTCCGCTCATTCTTTTTTTTTTGCTTCCTTCGTTATAATTACATTTTATTATTCTTGTTCGTATTTATAATTGCGTGTCTCTCACGGATGATTGCGCAAAACAAAATTCATAGTAAACCGATGTTTTATGTTGTAATTGTATACAACCGCTCCAGCAATATTAATCGAATTACAATATTTAAATAGATATTTAAATATGGTGCGCGGACTTGAGGTTACAATTTGTCAAGGTATGCATTCAAGTCTGGGAGACCCTCCTTCAATCCCTTCCTCTTACGTGTATCCTGCAAAAAAACAATATGTTTGATCATAACTGTGATAAGTTAGTTAATTAATTCCATAACGTTTTATTTGCATTTGAAAAAAATTGTATGTTTCCCTATTCAGGTAAACCAGATAGTCTACTGGAGTACCAAAACTAAAAACGCTTTCTTTCCCACGAGATTAAAAACAGCGGTACATCGAATTGTCGCCGCCATCAGTTATGCACGTGGTGAGATATCGGAGAATTGCTTAGCGATAAAATAATCACTTGTTTAATGAAAAATCCGATACTTTGTCTCATGGACATGCGTTATAATAGCAAACGGAGAAGATATACGAGAAAATCATTGATGTACGTACCTGCACAACTTGGTAAGGTCGAGAGCCGAGTTCCATCGGGTCACCCGGTAAGATCTGCCAGTGATCGAACACACACTGTGGGAAAGCCTGACCACCGGTGTTGGAGCGCAGATCGGCAGTGAAGCCGAAGGATTCGTTTACAGGAAGGTACGCTTTAACTACGAACATAGGAGTACCTGCCACCTGTTGTTCCTCGAACACGTGACCTCTTCTACGATTCAGCACGCCGTAGATACCACCGACTGCTACTTCCGGGCACTGCAAAAAGATAATTTCGATATTTAATTGTTCTGCCGATTTTTTTATTACAATTTGTGTATAAAATGGACGATGTGCGTCATCATTAAATAGATTTCCAATAATTTACCTGAATTTCGCATAAGTAAACGGGTTCCATAATACGGGGTGAGGCAGTGAGAAGACAGGCATAAAGGCAACGTCTTGTGGTAGGGATAATTTGACCACCACCTCTGTGGATCGCGTCAGCATGTAATGTTACATCGTGTATGTTGAAACGTACACCTCTCAAATTCTCTTCCGAAAGAACGCCCTGTAATAATGTAAAAGTAAATTATTGCCGAATTAATAATTTAATAAGTTAATAATCTATATTTGATTCAATGCAAAAAATCTTTCACCTCTTTCGTGGCCCACTGGAATCCAGCTACCACAGAATCCTTAATTTCGTTGAGATACTGTACACCTTTAGTGCAATCGACCAGTATATTAGGTCCGCTACCGTCAGGTCCGAAGCACCAGATTTTCCTTGCCTCCGTCACGTCGTAATCGTATTTCTCGTTCAAGTAACGAGCACGTACTTTAAAGTCATCTCGTGGATTAACATCGCCCTATAAAATATCGAAAGATTAAAATTTACTTTCGATTCAAAATGTCGATTCAAACTAATAATTTAATTACGCTAATATCTTCCATATTTTATTAAAATTTTTATTAAAATTTTATTTAATTTATTAAAAATATATCATGTTAATTGAAAGTTCCTTTAAAAAAAAAAACTTACACTGTCGATGTCCTCAGCGAGACCATCTGGCATTGGACACGCCATCATGAACAGACGATTGTGTTTGTTCGGAGATTTCGACAAGCACATTTGATTCGACTGTTCGGAAATCGTTTCTCTATACGAAACGACGGGATCGGACTTTTTAATCGGGATACATGCGTGATCCTCCTCCAAATCTTTTAGACAAATTTCGAGATGCAGTTCTCCGGCACCAGCGATAATATGCTCACCGGATTCCTCGATGATGCACTGTACCATAGGATCGGATTTCGCTAAACGTTTGAGACCTAAAGAATTGAACACAATTAAATCACACATGTGCAAACAAGATATTAAATAATATTTAATAAGATTTATCGATATATCGTCAGATGAAAAAATTTAAATCATGGATCTTCATAACCCAATGCTCAAAGTACTTTCATCATATAAAATCAGTGTCTCAATTTTATACAAAACTGTGTGTGTGATTAAAGATTATAAATAAAGTAGTATATAATAACCCATTTCAGAAATTCACATTTCAAAAATCATAGATTTTCAGTAAAATTTAATTATTCTTTGAGAGGCTAATAATAAAATTAAGCTGGGAAACTTACACACCTTCGACCAATTTTGGCAAATCAGCAGGATTTTTCGGCTCGACTGCAACACGCACAACAGGCGATACAGAAAACTTCATAACTTTCATGTTGTGCGCATCCTTGAACGTTGTGATAGTACCGGTCTTAACCAAGAACTGATCGACGCCGACAAGACCGCAAATATTACCTGCGTAAATTAAATTAGTTATAACACATGTGGATGTACATTAATTAATTTTAATTTTATTTAACTAAATCAGCTGGCCGTTCTATTTTTCTATCATAAATAAGTCAGAACAGGTCTGTTGAACAAACATCATGCTTGTAATTAGAAATAAAGGGTGCTTTCCATTTGATGACACATGTCAACAAAAACGTCAAGCTAAATAGAAAGCATCCAAAAAAGCAATCTTGACATTAACCAGAAGGCACATCTTCGATAGCTTCGACGTAACGACCCATCATCAAAATAGTGCGCTGGATAGCTTTCTCATACAGATCTTCCTTCTTGCCCGGTTGGAAGTTGGGTCCCATGATGCGGGCCTTCATACCGGTAGACACTTTGCCCGAAAATACTCGGCCGAAAGCATAGAAACGTCCCTTGTCCGATGTCGGTACCATTTTTGAAACGTACATCATCAGTGGTCCATTAGGATCACAGTTCTACAAAAGATAACTTAATTTAATTATTGAAAACAAACTCTTTTAATAATCTAGAATTCTTTTTTAGTCAGAATTTCGATTTTCCCTCATTACGTTTCAGCACAGGTCTGTGAATTATATATCATCATATATTTGTATCAAATATCCGAAAAGCTCGGACATATATTACAAACCTTAATTCCAACGGCAGCTTCGTCATCGAGCGGTCCTTCGTACAGCATCTCCATGCGGTATTTTTGAGCAGTTACAGGAGATGGTAAATGAATGGCAATCATCTGAAGAAGAGCCTCTCCGGCAGGCAACCATGTTCTCATAACAACCTGTAAAAAGTTGTACAACACGATAAAAAAAACATTCCAAAAAAAGTGAACTTAATGTGGTCATTAGATGTCAGAAAAAAAAACAATCATCATTATGCATAATTACACAAGAAATATATATGTATCACAATCTAGAAAGAAGTCTACCTTCAACAAAGCTTTTCCGTCCTTGTCCTTATCTTCGGCCTTTAGCACAATACCCAGCTTTTTCAGAAGATTGTCTGCCTCCTCCTTCTTATAATTCATTATACTATCGAATACCTAAAAAATAATTTTTTATTTTAGTTATCAACGCTTATCATGATGATAATGCAAACATTGATTACTTTACGTAATATTTAAGGCAGTGAGAATTTACCTTATAAATTGGATCTAAGACGTACATACAGAAGGAGCGCTTGTTATCAGGCTCTTTCTGTTTGCTCCACTTCTTGGTCTTAGGATTGAAGAAGGATTCGCCCCACAGTCTGTTCATTAGTTTTACTACATCAATCTTGAATTTCTCGGCGTACATCTCGGAGAATTGTTTTAAGGTGAAAGCCCAGCCGTGAAGGCCAGAACCGAAACCTACGGAGCCTTTGCTGGGATCTACCTATTTTACAAATACACATTTAGGAAAGGTATATATAACGATTGTTCTTTGTATTAAAACCTTTTATTTCACTTACTCTAACTTCACCCATAGGGCCATCGTCGTCGGAATACGTTGCAATAATAACGTTAACGTTTTCAACAATACGCTGGAAAGTTTGATAGAGATCTTCGCTATCAAGCTGGAGTTCCAACAGTGCACGGTCCATTTTATTCATGAATAAAACGGGCTTGATACGTTCAGCGATCGCTTGGCGAAGTACAGTTTCAGTTTGTACACATACACCTAAAAAGAAATAAGCAAATAATTATAATCACTCTCTTCATTTCAGGAAATCATCGATACTATTTATTTTCTGGTAAGAATTGTATGTCTACAAAAAGGTAATACAATAATGGTAACAATATAATAATCTCATGAAAGGCTATGTAGCATTTGTATCGTAGCGTGTTAATAACGGACATAAGGATAGAGGTCCACTAACAGCGTTTAGACACAACTGCTTTTTACTCTTCTTCCGTTGCACTGTCAACACTGTCAATGTACACCGATTAATTTATACAAACCAACCAGCATACTATAGAGTAACACTTGTGTGCTGGAAGATCAACCTGTTCGATCGCGGCAAAGAAACCGATATACGAATAGAAGAAAATCATAAAACACATACCAGATACACAATCAACAACAACAAGAGCTCCATCAGTGACTCGAAGGGCAGCTGTGACCTCGCTCGAAAAATCTACGTGTCCGGGTGAATCGATCAAATTAATTAAAAAGCCCTTCTCGTCTTTGTCACGTTGATCGGGATTTTTGATAAAGACTAAATCTTTTTCATCGAGTTCGAAGAACATGGAAATAGCGCTAGAAGGAGAGCAGTAAGCAATATTAATTGAATGGATATAACAATGGATAATGCAAAATTCAGGCACAGGACACGAGACGGTGAAACTTACGTGGATTTAATGGTGATACATCGTTCCTGCTCATCCTTACGCGTGTCTGTAAATCGGGTCTCGCCAGCCTTGGCACCAGCAATAATACCGGCCTTAGATACAAGGGAGTCAGTCAGAGTTGACTTTCCATGATCGACGTGTGCGATGACGGACATGTTTCTGATGTTTTTCTTTTTGTCCATCATGGTACGGATCTCGTCTACCGTAAAGTTCACCTGCAATAGCATATTTTTAATTTGAGTACACATTAATTGTATGAGTCCGCAAGTTATTTCTACTATCACTATATATTAAAAAGTGATTAAAATTAATCTCTGATTTAAATTTACATGCGTAAATATACAAATGTATAATATAATCAATAATTAATCTGAAATACAGAGCAGTTCGTTATATAAATGATTTCTAACAAGACTATTGCAACATATTGCAACATGGGGAAAAATGAGTCCTTTACAAATTAGTTTTAAAAATTATTTTTTCCACAATATATGTAAGATGTTTAATCATTTATTGATCTTTACAAAGGCAAAATACTTTTGTAATAGACTTTGACAATGAACATATTGAAACATGCTCCTTGCACGTCAGAGAAAATGTCTAACGCCCAGAACTGTCTCAAATTAGTACTACTGAAAAGAAGTTCATCTCACTGTCCTAGACACAATTATATTTATACAATGTACCATCTTTTAATATACTTGTGCTGTATTATATGAAACCATAAAGGGATCTCATCATGACATTCAGTAGCGTTCTTCTACGTGCTTCCTTTGTTCCAATCTGTATTTCCAAAATTCTTATTATCAAGAAAAGTCCCGAAGGAGCAATACTGTCTCAAGAATACTAACACACGCCTCACGCACTAAGGATCACGCCACGAGACCTACCACGTTGCGAGCGCAACATATTTCTTCCGTTCGAGACGTCTCGCGACGACTTTCCAGAGATGTTCAACAGTCGATGCATTTTTCTATACGCAGATTCTTGATTCCGGAAGCGTCGCGTCGTGATCGAGCCGACAAAGGACCTCGGAAATGAGAGGAGAAGCGTTGGCTCTTCCCCCCCCCTTCCGAGCACGTTGCGACTTGCGTGTCGGCAGCCACGCGAGGTGCACCATGACACGTTGCGAGATATATTTCCGCTCGTGGGGATGCCGCGACGATGGAATTTCTCGAGTTCGTGTCCCCATGATGGTATCTCGTTCCATCTTGTGATCAACAATCCAGATTCGGGCCATTGCGGATCCGAAACTCGGAACGGATATCGCGCGGATAAAGTTGCGCAATCCGAAGTAATCGCGTTATTGTAGCGAGATGCGGAAAGAACGATCACGAATGCGGGGAAGGAGGGGAGGATACCACGAAACGAAGCCTCGGTGTGCTCAGCCGCAAAGGATATTCCGCGAAAAATATTGACGATAACTCGAGCGCGGTAATACGTGGTCAAAGATCGCTGCAAAAGCGTTGCGACACGATTACTTACCATCTTGGATGTTGTCCGATTGTCGACGGCCTGGTCCAAATTATACGTGCACCAACTATGGCGGACTCCCTCAGAAAGAACAAGCTATCCGCCGCCTGTCTGAATGTCGCCTCCTGCGTGAAGGGAGCGCCGCGTTGCGGCGGCGCGCGCTTCTGCGCATCGGCAGTAACGCGGGTCCAATACGCGTGAAGTTGCGCGCGCACGGCATCTCAGATTTTGGCTGGTATTCATAGGTCGGAATCCATAGTCCGGTCTTAGTCCGGATCTACAATAGAGTTTTAAGCCTTAAGCCATAAGAAATGGACGAATCATAGTCGATCATTCCCCTCAAATTCGACTGTAATTGGTCAATTTCTTACGGCTTAAGGCTTAAAACATCTATTGTAGATCCGGACTTAATCTCAAGCAATGTCTTATGGCTCCTGCACACTGGACGCGGAAACGCTT